CCTAGAGTTCATTTTTTCTGCTTCACTCTTCATTTCAATGTTGTAGTGTTCATTTTTGACTGTTATTTTTAATGGTGTTATGTCCCTTTTCATGCCGTTGAAATTCTCACTAAGTTCTTTAAGCATCTTTATAATTACTTTTTTGAAAACTATATCTGGTAAATTGCTTGCCTCGATTTCATTTAGGCTTTTTCTGGGGATTTCTCCCGTACTTTCATTTGGAGCAGGTTTCTTCCCTCCCCATTTTGGCTGCCTCTTTGCATTTGTTTCTATGGATTAGTTAGATCTGCAATGTTGCCCAGTCTTGGTAGGGTGGCCTAATGTAGTAGGTGTCCTGTGGGACCCAGTGGCGCATTCTCCTTGATCACCTGAACTGGGTGCTCCAGGAGTGTCCCCTGTGTGGGTTTGTGAGCCCTCCCGTGGTAATTGAGTCTTGATGGCCACTGGCCCATTTGTACGTGGGGCCAACCCTCAGGTCGGCTGAGTGTGAGGATTGTCCACGACTACAGTGTGTGAGTTGCTGTGCAGGTCGTGACCACACGAGGTGGAGTTCACTTCCGCAGGGCCTGGTGCCTGCTGAGAGCTCCCTTTAGACGTGCTGTTTGTGAAGGTAATTGAGTCCCTGTTTGATGTTGTTTGGATCTCACCACCGAGTGTGTTGGTGCTGGATCCTCTTGGGAGGACTCTGGTGCAGACCAATGTCAGATGCTGCCTGTGTTGGTCCATGGGCAACCTGTTTGGAGCTATAAACTGATCCACAGTTTGTGGCTACCTGAGCTTGGCAATCTGGCGTCCATGGGAAGGACCAAGCTGCGCACCAAGGCCAGATTCTACCAGCAAGGAGCATGGAAACAGGTCAGCAAAAGGCCAAAGGCACCTGAGACCTGCCTCCACCTGCCCATGTTTGCTGGATACCTGTAGTCTCAGTCACTGAAAGAGCCTGTGGTGGGACTTAAGTTGCATGAGGTATGTTCTCAGTGAGTCACCAGGTAGGGATGAGTGGTGATCACCAGATTGATATAGGTTCAAACTTGATGCCAAGGATGGGTCTGAGGCCACTTGGCAGAAGTCCCAGGGTGTTCTAAGCCTAAGTGCCACCTGCTGGGTGCCCACAGACCTTTGTGGTGGGATGAGGTCTCAGGGGTTTGTCAGGGAGAGGGCAGCAGGGTTTATCAGGCCCAGACAGACCAAGATCTGGCTGTGCAAAGGGAGAGGTCTGCAACTCTTGGGCTTGTAATGGGAAAACGCCCTGTCCTAGAGCCATACTGCTCAGTCTGACCCAGAATCTGCTGGCAGCTTGAGCTGAGTAGAACAGAGCTGCTGAAAGCCAGGAGGATGGGGCTATTGGATCTCCCATCACTGCAGGCACTGGTCAGGCTTGGGTGAAGTTGGGGGGAGTGACCTTTGTCCCCTGTGTGGCACGTCACAGGCTCATCTGGATTTTTCCCAGGACTCTTGAGGAGCCTGAGCTTGGCTGGGTGGGCCTTCCAGATCCAGAGGGAGGGTCTAGTGGATCTTCTGTGAGGGAGAAGGGCGGCCAGGCTCCTGGGAAGCTGGGGCAGTGGCCCCCGCCCCTGTGCCACACGACTCAGTCACGGACACCCCTGCGTCTGCCCAGACCTCTGCGCCCCAGGCCCAGGCAGCTGACTCCTCTGCACGCGTTAGGGCTGCAGGGTGGGGCACCAGGGAGTCCAGACGCGGGGCTGTTGCCTCCCCAGGCTGCAGGGCAGTTCTCCACCCAAGCAAGATGGCCTCTGTGGTGTGGGAAAGGCGCTCAGCACAGGGGACCCTGCGTCTCTCCCTTCAGCCTGTCCCCAGAGCCACACATCCCAGTCAGCCTTTCCTCACACAACTCTCGTCACTCTGCCCTTCCTTCCCGGGAGCCCAGGACGAGTAGCTGTGAATGAGGCCCTGTGCACTGGCCTTTTGAGAGTGCGCCTGTGTCTCCATCAGGCTCCTGTTTCTCCCTGGCAGACAGAATTTCTGTGATTTTCACAGCCAGACGCTATGCGGGTGCCTCTTCCCGGCCGTTGGTGCTTTGGGTTGGGGAGCCCAGTGCGGGGTTGAGACGGCACACTCCTCAGTGGAAATCTTTGAAGCTGACATATCCCTCCAGATTTCAGCCACTGCCTATGGAAGTGGGGCCAACCCTTTCTGTGCCTCTGCCCTTCCCATCAGTCTTGAAGTGGACTCTTCTTTAAATCCTTGGTTATTAGACTTCTGTTCAGCTAGTCTTCAGCTGTTTCTTCTGGTTATTTTTCTGATTTTGGTGGTTTTTCTAGTTTTTTTCCTGGGAGTCGGTGAATGTAACTTCCACTTTGCCGCCATCTTGGATCTCTGCGTTTTCTTTTGACACATCATCTTTAGGTTTCTTATATTCCGTCGAGAGTTACGGCTTTTGTTTTGTCCTATTGCTTTTAAGATTTACTTTTGGTTTTGATTTAAGCAGTTTTGCTTTCACCAGGTGTAGTTTTCTTTGTACGCATACAGGGGTGGTAGAGCATCGTGAGCCTGTGGGTTTATGTCTTTCATCAGACGTATACTATGAGTTATCACCTACCTGATATGCATCTCACCTTCTCTTTTCCTCTTAATTTTTTATTCCCTCTGCTTTATCACAGATAGCGTCTTTTAGCCTGTCTTCCGATGTTCTGCCTTCTGTTCTGCTCTATCTGATCAGCTGTCAAACCCAACTTCATTGTGTTTCACTTATTTTATTTTCCAGTTCTATGATTTTCACTTCATAAATGTCTTATGTATTTTACACTCCGTAGTAAAATTCTCACATTTGATCCATTTTTCTTTCATTAAAAAAAAATATTACAGCTGTGTCATGTCTGATAACCATCAAAACCAACATCTGATATTGCATTCTCCTCTTGTATTTCTTTTTACGCCTCTCCTTGCCATGCCGGTGGGTTTTCGACTGACTGCCAGACACTGAGCGAGAAAATGTGTTAAATTGGACGCTGTTATCTCATTGCATACGGAGGACCTCTCTCCCCTTTGCTGGGCAGGGAGAGGATGAGTAAGCACTTCAGTCCCTTCGCTATCGTGCTGACTCAAGGCTGCAGTGCAGTTTTGTCCAGGGTCATCTGTGTTAGGTTTCCCCCTGTCCTGGTCATCTTCCTCGGAGGATTTCCGCAGAGACTGGGGGTGCGTCTGGGGGTCCCTTTGCCCCAGACACTCAACTCTAATGTTTGTCTCCCCGGTTATGCAAGATGCTAAAATTCTACACCCGCCGACAGAGATTTTCTGCTTGGCTCTTTAGTCTGCCACCCCCGGCAGCCTTGGAACGCATCTGATCGCTTGAGGTGAGCGCGGCCGAATGTGGGGAGCAGTGCTGCGTGGTCTCCTCTGTCTGGGACTTGGCTCCTCCATCTCTAATTTCATCGCGCTGTCTACACAAGATGGCCACAGCTTGGCTGGTTTTCCTGTGCCTTAGTAGCAACTGCGTGGCTGGGTTTCCATCGCCACTCCACTCCTCGAGGCAGAAGCGCCATAAGGGGAAAGCAGGTGGCCATGTGGCCCCATCTCTGAGCAGCTGCCTTTTGCCCTCCTCGCTCGCTTCACCCCTGCCCGGGCAGGAGAACTCTGGCCCTACTCTCACCGCCATTAGACTGTCTCCTCCAAGGTCTAATCGGGACAGCAGCCCTTTGATCGCTTAGCAGTGCCCCTAGATGTCCCTCCTAACTGAGGTCCGCTCTGACCGTCACATGCAAGTCACCAGTCCGACCCTTTTCTTGAGCCCGCCGCCTGTTTTCTTTCATCACGGCACTCAGCACAGCACTATGCCAGTGCTGTCATGGGTTATGTGTGTTTGTCTCTGTCGTCGCATTAGAAGGCAGGCCTGTGGACCGGAGGCTGTGCGGGTCACCATAGCACCCCCCCGCCACAGCGCCTGCACCCTATGGGCCATCCACTGGTTCGATCTGGGTCAGTGATCAAACGGGTGGACGAACGAATGCATGAACCTAGAGCATGAACCCCTGAGATCCTACATGTATTCCATTGAGTTTAATGGAACATATACACCTGAAAATTGACGATGTCCAGCGTGGCAAGGATGTAGAATTGGAGCTCTCAAACACGGTGGTGGGAGTGTGGATTAGTACAACGATTCTAGAAACTCCTTAGAAAAATGTGCTAAAGCCCAAATGCAGGCCTTCCTATGTCCCCGCCCAAGTGAGCCCAGAGATGAATACCATAGTATTCATAGCAGCTTAACTCCTTGTATCCCCGAATTGGAATCAACCCCAATGAACCAGAGGAGGGAGAGGAAAAATAAACGGTGGTGGGATGCAGCAGAAGCCTGACCACGCCGGCAAGGGCGCAGAGCATCGCTCCGTGGAGCGGCACGATAGAGCTCCCAGGCAGTATGCTGAGTGGAAGGAAGCCGGTCCACGGGACACATAATGTGACCCATCCATGCGAGGGCCAGGAACAGGCCACAGCGGCTGTTGGTGACAGAGGGCAGGACGGCGCTTCCTTTTGGGGGTGGGGGAGGTCGCCAGCAGACGAGGAGCTGGAAACGCTGTACGGGGTGCACGGGGAGAAGTAGGCTTGCACTTCAGTAGGCTGTACAAACGAATTCATGCTCTTTACATGCAAGGCGTACCTAGAGAAATGTAGGGAGGTGACTTTGTGGATGACATGCCACGTGGCAGGCTCTGTGCATACAAGGGTGACGGAGCCCCCGCCCGCAAGAGCCAACTGTCCTGTGGGGAAGCCAGCACCTGGCAGTGCAGGCGCTGGAACAGCCTGGGTCCTTCCTCCAGTCTTAGGGTCGCTCCTGGCCAGGAGCCTCTGAAAAGTGCACTTGAGGTTCTGTGACAGCAGACATACGTGTGTAAACACAGCTCTAACACCACGAGGCCCTATCGCCCCACCTGGCGCGTGGCTCCCAGGAGAAAATTGACTGAACGATGAGGCATTGGTGCCTGAGTCAGAATCTGGTCTCAGCATTGTGTCTCTACCTGTGCGTCCCTCCCTGTCCCCAGAGCCCGCGGCGGTGTTCGCCAAGGAGCAGCCGGCACGCAGTCCCGTGCAGGCCGTGGCGGGGGCCATGGCGACGCTGAGCTGCGAGGTGGCCCAGGCCGAGACGCAGGTGACGTGGTACAAGGACGGCAAGAAGCTGAGCGGGAGCTCGAAGGTGCGCGTGGAGGCCGCGGGCTGCACCCGGCGGCTGGTGCTGCCGCAGGCGGGGAAGGCGGACGGCGGGGAGTACAGCTGCGAGGCCGGGGGCCAGAGGGTCACCTTCAGCCTGGGCGTCACAGGTCAGTTCTTCGGTGGCACTCTCGCAGCCTTGTGTGTGGGTAATGACAGCAGCCCGATGCACTCCAGTGCTCTTGGCCCTGGTCCTCTCTCTCTGAGGCTCCGCCCTCCACCTTCCACTCCACACCCGTGGCCGGGCCAGAGGAGGCTGGACGGGCAGAGCGTGAGCAGAGGGACAGGCGTTCCTGTACAACCTGGCTTGGGCCCCACCCAGTGCTGCTCAGCCATAGTTCCCAGTCCCTGACGCGAGCCTGCCCGGGGAAGCTCGGTGTCTGGGCCCCTGGCTCTACCGTTGACTCGGAGTTGGAGGTGGACCAGGCGTGTCTCAGCTGTGCTGTGTGAATGCCCACCTCTCCATGTCTGGGGATGCCCACAGCCAGCAACGTGTGCTGTTCGCTCTAGGATAAGGGGTGGCTCCTGCCACCCAATCGTACTTGGATGTACCTCAAGACTGGACAGTGGGTTCGCAGATTTTAGTAGTTTGGGAGACTTCTTGCACGTGGATGTAGAAGTGACTGTACACTCGCATGTTGCAAAATTCTAGATGCATGAACTCTTGCCGCGTCTCGGCAAAGCAAACAAAGACGAGAGGATTGGCGCGTGTGTGTGAGGGCCGTACACCTAGGGGTCTGGAATTCTCTTTCTGAAGTGCACCTTGGTCTCGTCTTGCCTCCTGTTTCCCTTCATCTCCTGGGCTGGAATCCCCAGGAGATGACGTGTACGGTTGGACGTGGACTGGACTAAGGCAGCTGGCCCGCACTGCACGCTCTGTTGAAGACCAGTCCCTGTAGTGAGAGCCCCGACTGTAGAGACAGGGTTTATTTCACAGCGTTTCCCAGCGACTCGCGCGTGTCCGTCCCAAACTGTGTTTTCCTTTTCAGAGGGGCGTTTAACCTCGGATAAGGGTTGGCCGTGGTCGCACATCGACTCCCACGTGCCAGCGCGTGACCGCTGTGATTGGGCATGATTTGTAGGGCGTAGGCACGCCGCGCCCCTGCACGGGGCAGCGGCCGACATGCAGATGAACGTGCTCCCCGGGCTGAGAAGGCGCTGGGGCTTCGCAGGCCCCGCAGCGGGTGCAGAGCCCCGAGGGGTGTCCAGCCTCCCCGCCCCCTGCTCAGTGCCCCTTTCCCCGTGCCGTGCTCCTGACCTGGAGGAAGGCTCTGACCCCGTGCGTCCCTCCCTGTCCCCAGAGCCCGCGGCGGTGTTCGCCAAGGAGCAGCCGGCACGCAGTCCCGTGCAGGCCGTGGCGGGGGCCATGGCGACGCTGAGCTGCGAGGTGGCCCAGGCCGAGACGCAGGTGACGTGGTACAAGGACGGCAAGAAGCTGAGCGGGAGCTCGAAGGTGCGCGTGGAGGCCGCGGGCTGCACCCGACGGCTGGTGCTGCCGCAGGCGGGGAAGGCGGACGGCGGGGAGTACAGCTGCGAGGCCGGGGGCCAGAGGGTCACCTTCAGCCTGGACGTCGCAGGTAAGTCTTTGCGGTGCTCGCTCTGTCTTGTTCGGAGATGGGGAGTTGGGTATGTTCTCGGACATAGACCCTGGGGCTCTCTCATTAGAGCTGGTACCCACTTTGGCCAAGTGAGGGCAGAGGACGTTGGGCGCATGGAAGGGGGAGGGCTTTCCTGTAGACACCTGTCGTGTGTCCTTGTGCTAGAGCAGAGCAGTGCGTTCTGACGGCCTCCTTGGGACCCTTGTCATTTCCGGGTCCAGGACTGTGGCTGTGTCGGGTGCTTGTTCTGTGAGGTGGACTAGGCATCTCCGACATGGGTTATGTAGCTGTGCTTCTGCTTAAGTTACTCATCATTGTAGTTACACACAATGTCATATTAATCAGGTTTGCAGCATAGTGATAGAACACTGATACACCTCGCATAGCGACGGAAGTGCCATAGTTAAGTCGCACTTTGCATATTGATTAAGATACTCGTGACTACGTTGCGTAGGCCGTGCAGTAATCCCAGAGGCTTATATTCTAACAGGAAGTTAGCTCTTCCTCGCCCCTTCCCCTTCGCATTCATGCTTTCAGCCCCTCCTGTCTGGCGTCATCGGGTTATTCTCTGTATGTGTGAGTTTGTATCTGCTTGGTTTTTTTTTTTTGATTACTTGTGTTGTTTCTTAGATTCCACATGTGAGTGATTCCAGATGCCTTTTGTCTCTCTCTGACTTACTTCACTCAGCTTGTAGTCTCTAGGACCGTCCATGTGTTTGTAAATGGCAAGGTTTAAATTTTAATGGCCCAGTAATATTCCACTGTATAGTTTTATACATTGGAAGTATAATTTACAATTTATTACATTATATATTTAATTTTTTAATTACTCTTTATCCATTGTACCACGTCTTCTTTATCTACTCATCTCTTGATTTGCACTTAGGTTGCTTCCATATCTCAGCTATTGTTAATAATTCCGTCATAAACGTCGGGATGCATATATCCTACTGAATGTTTATTTCATATAAGCACTTATAAATTGGATTGCTGGGCCATATTTCAGTTCTATTTGTAATTCTTTGGGGGTCATCCACAGTGCTTTCCACAGTGGCTGCCCCAGTCTGCGTTGCAACCAGCAGTGCACGATGGGTCCCTTTTCTCCACAGCCTCGCCAGCACTTGTTTGTTGATTCATCAACGCTGGCCATTCTGACAGGTGTGAGGTGAGAGCTCATTGTGGTTATTACCTGCATTTTCTAATGATTAGTGATTCTGAGCATCTCTTTGTTTGCCTGCTTGCCATCTGTATGAAATGTATGTCGTTTTTGGAGAAGCATCTATTTAGATCCGCTGCCCATTTGTAAATTGGATTCTTTCGGTGTTTTTGGCTTTAAGTTGTACACGTTTTATATACTTTGTGTATTAATCTGTTATTGGATGTGTTACTTGGAAATATCTTCCCCCATTTACTAGGTTGGCTTTTCATTTTTTTTAATGGTTTCTCTCACTGTGGAAAAATACTTTTCAGTTGTTTTAGTCCCATTTGTTATATTTTCTTTTGTTGCTCTTTACCCAGGACATATATGAGAAAAATATTACTAAGAACCATGTGACAGTGTTTTCTGCCTGTGTTTTCTCTCAGAGTTTTATGGTTTCAGGTTATATGCAAGTCTGTAATCTACTTTGAATCTATTCTTGTGTGTTGTATAAGATAATGGTGTAGTTTCATTTTTTGGCATACATCTGTCACATTTTCCCAACACCATTCATCAAATAGATTGTCCGGACCCCATTGTATCTTCTTCCTTCCTTTATCATAGCTTAATTGACTGTAGAGGTGAGGGTTTATTTCTGGGCTCTCTATTCTATTCCACTGATCTGTGAGTCTGTTTTATGCCAGTACCATGCTGTTTTGACTTACATAGGCTTGTAGTATAGTTTGATATCAGGTAGCATAATACCTCAAACTTTGGTTTTCCTTGTCCTTATTACTGAGGCTATTTGGTGTCTTTTGTGGTTCTATATAAATTTTAGAATTATTTCTTCTAGTTTAAAAAAAAAGTCATTGGTTTTCTGATACAGAGTGTATTTAATGTACATATTTCTTTGGGTTATGGACATTTGAACAATGTTAATGCTTTCTAGCCATGGACATGGTGTGTCCTTCATTTATTTGTATCCTTCATTTTTTCTTTAATGCCTTATAGTTTTGTAGGCACAGGTCTTCTACGTTTTTTATTACATTTATTCCTAGGTATTTTGTTGATTAAATTATAATGGTATAGTTTCTTAATTTCTCATCCTAATTGTTTATTATTAGTGTATAGAAAGGGTACATATTTCTATATATCAATTTTGTATCCTGTTACTTTGCTGAATTCATTTACTCGTTGCAATCGATTTTAGTGAATTTTTTAGGGTTCTGTATATAAAGTATTATGTTATCTCAAAATGAGGCAATTTTAATTCTCTCTTTCCAATTTGGATGCCTTTTATTTCTTTTTCTTTCCTAATTGCTCTGGCTTGGGCTTCCAGTACAATGTTGTATAAGCATGGTGAGAGTGTCCATCCTTTTATTTTTCTGATTTTAGAGGAAAAACTTTCAGCTTTTTCCCATTGAGTATGATGCTGGCAGTGGGTTTGTCATATATGGCCTTTATTATGTTGTGGTATGTACCCTGTCTTCCCACTTTGCTGAGAGTTTTTGTCATAAATGGGTGAGGGATTTTATCAAATGCTTTTTCTTCATCTGTTGACTTGACCATATGATTATATCTTTCATTTTGTTTATGTGGTGTATAATGTTAATTGATTTGCAGATATTGAACCATCACCCTTCATCTCTGGAATAAATGCCACTGATTGTGGTGTGTCATCTTTTTTAACGTATTATTTCATTCAGTTTGATAATAATTTGTTGAGCATTGTTTTCATCTATGTTGATCAGAGATGTTGGTCTGTCATTTTCTTTTCTGGCATATTGGGACAAGCGCTCTAACCAACTGAGCTCCCTGGCCAGGGCTAATTTTTTTTCTCTGTAGTTTGTTGTTTGGTTTGCTATAGTGGTGATGGTGACCTCATAGAATAAGTTTGGAAGCTTTACCTCGGCTTCAATTTTTGGGAATAGTTTGAGATGTGTACGTATTAATTCTCTATTAAATGTTTGAAAGAATTCATCTGTGAAGCCATCTGGCCCTGTTTGCGTGGAGTTTTTTGATTATTGATCAGTTTTGTCACTACTAATGAGTTTGTTCAGATTTTTTGCTGCTTCTTCATTCAGTCTAGGAATTCGTCATTATATTCTAGATTTTCAATTCGTTGGCATATAATTTTTTATAGTAGCGTCTCATAATCCTTTTTATCTCTATGGTGTCGGTTGTCACTCATCTGTCATTTCTGATTTTATTTATTTGGGCCTTCTTTGTTTTTTTTGATGTGTGTGCCTAAAGGTTAATTTATTTTGTTTTTCTTTTAAAAGAACCCGGTCTTAGAGTCATTGTTGATTTCTATTTTTTCAGTCTCTATTTCATTTATTTCTGCTGTGGCTGTGCTCCCCAATGCCCTTTCTTAGCACCACATGGGGTTCTTGCCAGGGCTAGACATTCAAATTTCTCATATAGAGTATGTAGGGAAATTTCAGCCATATGATATACTTGGAAGTATCCCAACTAAACTTTGGATTATCAATGGTCTAGGTGTTCTGGGACACTTTTTCGCCCTTGAACGTTGATGTGGAAGTTATCTGTGCACCAAATGTAGCAAAATCTAGAAGTTTCCTTGCAGTATCTGTGCCAAGTAAATAAAAACCAGCGGATTTGTAGATATGTGTCAGGGGTGCGCACACATGATGTTGGGAGTTTTCTTTTTGAAGCGAATCTTATTTTCTTTTTGTCCCCCGTAAAACCGTTCTGTGTCACAATTCCCTTTGGAGTTTGATTTATAAATTTAGACAAGGAACAGGGGGATAAGGAGCTTAAGCTACACAGTTGTTAAAGATTAGTCCCCACTGTGACAGCTGCTGCCTGTGATAGCTTCATTTGTGTCACATCATCCGCTAGTGATCAAGGCATGTCTGTGCCCCGCTGCTGGTTCAGGAGACACCTGAGGGCTAAATTTATTTCCTTTCGTTATGGAGGTCTCAACATGAGAGGGCTTGGGTGTCGTACCAGAGTGACTCCTGAGTGCCAGTGCAGAACTGCGTGGTTGTGTATCAGTATATAATGAAGTGCGAGTGTGTGCAAATACCAAAATTATGTATCTTTCTAAAATGTTTTTAAAGAGAACATGACAAGTTATTTTATGGCAATAATTTTGAAAATTTTTGACAAATTGTTGAACTGTTAGAAAAGTGTATGAAAAAGTGACAAAAGAATGAGAAAACTCAAATAGTCCTATGACTTTTATTTTTTACTTTTTTTAGATTTTATTTATTTATTTTTAGAGAAAGGATGGGAGAAAAAAAGGGACAGAGACATCCATGTGTGGTTGCCTCTCGTGCACTGCACCCTCTACTGGGGACCCGGCCCACAACCCAGGCCTGTGTCCTGACTGGGAATCGAACCAGCGACGCTTTGGTTTGCAGGCCGGCGCACAACCCACTGAACAACTCCAGCCAGGGCAAATAGTCCTCTGACTTTTAAATAAATGACACTAGTAGTGAAAAATCTTTCCATAGAGGAAGATTTTACTCCAGTGGCTCTACTGATTTATTATATCAAATATTCTGGAAAAAAATTATTATATTTTCATGAAGATTCTTCTAGAGCAGCAATTGTCAACCGTTGTCATCTCATGGCACACATAAACTAGTTACTAACATTATGTGGCACACCAAAATATATATATATGTTTGCTGATCTGACCAAAAATAGGTGTAATTTTGATTTATCCATACCAGCTGGCTACTATTGTGTTGGCTGTTGTCATTTTTTTAATTTGACAATCTAAGTGAAAAGAGGTCAGTGCCCCTGACTAAATAGTCAGGTATTGCATGTTTTAAAAAGTCTTGTGGCACACTGGTTGAAAATTGCTGTTCTAGGGAATAAAACAAGGAGATACAGTCTGTCATTTGATTCATGTCGGTAGCATAACATTGATACAAAAATCTCACCAGGCAAGTAGGGATAAGTAAAAGTATAGGCCAAAATCTTATGGATATCAAAACGAGCATATTCAACAAAATTGGCAAAGTCATCTGAATACTCTGTCAAAATGAAGATATAAGGCCTGTCCAGAAGATATCCAGCCATGTAATATGAAAAATAGAGATATTTTTTGATGAAGATAGAAGAAACATTGTACATAAGACAATGATGCCTTAGTCTCCTTCGAAGTAGGCACCTTGGGACCTCACCCAGTTCTCCCAGTCGCCGTCAGCTGCCCCATCGTATTTTTCTGAACCTGATCAACAATCTGAAATCTCTTCCCTTTCAAAGGTGATTTTAATTTTGGGAAAAGACAGAAGTCACAGGGTGCCAAATCTGGGTTGTAGGGTGGCTGAGCCACCTGGGTGGTTTGATGTGTGACGGAAAGACTGCACGAGACATGATGTGTGAGTGGGCGTGTGGTCACGATGAAGCTGCCGATCACCAGTTGCCCAGAGCTGCTGCCTTCTGAGTCATCCAGATAGTTTCCAAGGAGGAATGTTCAAGCTTAACGCAAAATTTGATGCAGACTTGTTGCTGTACTCACTCATTTTTTTTAATTTTTAATATGTGTTAACTGTATTACAGTTGTCTCAGTTTTTCCCCCTTTGCCCTCCTCCACCCATCCCACCCCGCCCGCCTCTCCCACAGTCAGTTCCCACTCTGTTGTCCGTGTCCATGGGTCATTCATACATGTTCTTTATTTATTCCCTTCTCCTTCTTTCCACCATTGTCCTCCTCCCCCGTCCTCTCTGGTCACTTTCAGTCTGCTCCATGTTTCCACATCTGTGGTTTATTTTGTACATTAGTTTATTTTATTGAATAGATTCCACTTATAGGTGAGATCATATGGTATTTGTCTTTCACCGAGTCATTTTGAATGTGACGGCCACACAGTGCACATGCTCACTCAATGGAGTCCACCGCCCCCACTGACTAGTACAGTGGAGTCGTCACTGTTCACACATGCGCCTTCCAGTCCACTCTCCTTGGCCGCCAGGTCACATCGATGTTGTGTAAACTCTTCTCATTATATCAACAATGGCTGGACTTTTTCCAGCTAGACCTCATACACTCCAACAGAAGTCACAGTCCAGGAATGCAATGTTGGTTTAATATTCAAAATTTTAGACTATCAATATAATCCATGACCCGCTGATTGAAAGAGAAAAATATTGTGATTATTCTCAATAAATGCAGAATAAAAGTTTGATAGTGTCAACATCATAAATTCAGAATAAATGTCTGATAAAATTTGGCATCAGTTTGTCCATAAATTTTGAACCAACTATTAATAAATGAATTCTTTGTTACAGATATAAATGGTACTACAGAAAACACCTATGAGATGGGGAACAAGAGAAGGAGGCCCCTATCTCACTGCTGTTTAACACTGCCTAGCACAGGAGGGAGGAAACGTATATAAAATCATAAAACTTGGGAAAACAAAGTAGAGTTCACAGATGTCATGATTATCAATTTTAAAATTCCAAGAATAAATGATTAGACTTGGAGCATTCAGAAAGATGACTCTACAAATATCAATATACAGAAAATACTCCTATGTTTATATGCAGGCAACGAACAGTTGGAAATGAAATTTTAAAAGATTCCCAATAGTACCAGAGGTATCATGTTTCTAATTCCAAATCTAATACAAGATGCTTAGTGACCCTAGCGGGGGGGACATTATTGAGCACTTTTGAGAGAGAGAGAGACAGAGAGAGGGAGGACCCAATCCCAACCACTAGACCACCAGGGAGCGGCTTAATGAGCACTTCTGAGAGATGATTAAGAAGGTCTAAATAAATGGATAGAATCCATGGAAGAATCTCAGATATTTATTAACAACTCAAATACAAACAGATGTTCTTTGGGAAGGTGTGAGGTGTTGACAGTCAATGAGCAGATTCAGCGTGAACATTTGTTTTTACCAATGTCGAGAATTGCTGTAAGTTACAGTGATGTAGGCAGCTGGGCCTCAATGCCAGGACACGCACCAAGGCACAGAACAGGGAGCTCAGAAACTGACCTGTCTCTGAATGGACCTCTGTCACATTCCCACTTGTTTGGGGTTTTTTTTTTGTTGTTTTTTTTTTGTACATAGCACCTGTGCAAAGATTGGGAAAGGAGGGTTTCTTCATAAAATTAAACAAATTGGTAACTTACACTGTACACAAACCCAACTCAGGTGGGTTAGAGACCTCAGGGTAAGAGGTAACAACAGAAAACTCTTAGATGATGACATTGATTCCTTAAAGACTCCAGGGTAAGAAGGGCTTTCTGACAGAATGCAAGTGCACTAACCACTGTGGAACAAGGATGACATAAATGATACCGGTATAAGGAAAAACTTTCATTCCTTAGAAGACACTGTAAGAGAGTGCAAAGGCACGTCACAGGTGTGGAAGAGAAAGGCTGTAGCATGCAAATGAGCTCCTAAAAATGAATATGAAAAACGCAGACGACGTTACTGACAATCAGGCAAAACCCTTGAACAGGGACACCCCAGAAGAGCAAACAGAAATGGCCAAAAGATTGAAGCTGCTCTACTTTGTGAGCCATTAAGACCGTGCAGGGGACTGCCACAGGAGTTACAGTTCACTCCTCCAGCTGGCCAGCCGCGACACAGGGAGAGCCAGAGAGCAAACAGGAGGAGGCGCCCTAGGCACTGTCCTGCATGGAAAGAGAACACTTCCTGCACGATCTGGAAAGACCACACTCGCTGACCGGGTGCACACTGCAGAGTGTGGGGTTCCTTGCCTAGAGGGGGTGCACACGGGAGAAGTCCTCCACAATGTCTCCCCTGGAACTGCCACACAAACAGCGGCCGACGTGCAGATGAACGTGCTCCCCGGGCTGAGAAGGCGCTGGGGCTTCGCAGGCCCCGCAGCGGGTGCAGAGCCCCGAGGGGTGTCCAGCCTCCCCGCCCCCTGCTCAGTGCCCCTTTCCCCGTGCCGTGCTCCTGACCTGGAGGAAGGCTCTGACCCCGTGCGTCCCTCCCTGTCCCCAGAGCCCGCGGCGGTGTTCGCCAAGGAGCAGCCGGCACGCAGTCCCGTGCAGGCCGTGGCGGGGGCCATGGCGACGCTGAGCTGCGAGGTGGCCCAGGCCGAGACGCAGGTGACGTGGTACAAGGACGGCAAGAAGCTGAGCGGGAGCCCGAAGGTGCGCGTGGAGGCCGCGGGCTGCACCCGGCGGCTGGTGCTGCCGCAGGCGGGGAAGGCGGACGGCGGGGAGTACAGCTGCGAGGCCGGGGGCCAGAGGGTCACCTTCAGCCTGGGCGTCGCAGGTCAGTTCTCTGGGGGTAGAGGGTGCTGCTTCGTCCGTGTGGAGGCCTTGCTGTGATTGACTTAGAGCTGTGACAGCCCTTCTGCTCTTTCCGTAGACCCCACCCGTGCCTGTGTCCCACCCTCCCACTGTCTACTTTTATGCCCGTGGCTGAGTCCGGGGAGGCCGGGATGGAGGGCGCGCAGAGCGGGAGGGGCCCCCACTGGTTCCCCGGTGCACCCCGAGTGGCGTTGCCACAGAGTGATGCTGCTGGCTTTCCTTGGTACCCAGGAGCCCGGCTCTGCTGTCTCTGGGGCCGCAAGAAGCCCGGCGTCTCTCACCGCGGGCACGTGGACGTCCGTGAGGACGTGTGAGCGGCTCCCGGGGCCTCATCCAGGGCCCCACGCGGGTCTCCAGAGTTAGAGGCGTTGGGTTTCCCTGCCCTGAGAAGGCGCAATTTCAGCCCCACACTCACACACGACATTTTCTGAAGCCTGAAGTTAGGATCCGCAACCTTAGCCGTTTTGGAACCCTCTTTCTTCCTTGGGCACGGGCACAGAGGTCACCAGGGCACCCGGTTCACAGTCTAGGTCCCAGCTCTGATTCCGTGTCTGTGCAAAGCAAGCCCAGGACCGAGGGCTGGCGGACGCGCGCCTGCGATGTGCTCCTGCGAGGAGGGAGTGGGTTGTTCCCTTAGGCGCACACCTTGCCTTCCTTCTGTCTCCTGTTCGGACCTCCGGTGTCAGCGTCCCTTGGGGTCCGCCGGGTGGAGTCAGGCACAGCGAGGAAATGGGAGCAGGAGCCGAGCAGCGCGGTGTGTTAGAGACGAGTCCGTCGAGAGCAGCCCCGGACTGTAGAGACAGGGTTTATTTCACAGCGTTTCCCAGCGACTCGCGCGTGTCCGTCCCAAACTGTGTTTTCCTTTTCAGAGGGGCGTTTAACCTCCGATAAGGGTTGGCCGTGGTCGCACATCGACTCCCACGTGCCAGCGCGTGACCGCTGTGATTGGGCATGATTTGTAGGGCGTAGGCACGCCGCGCCCCTGCACGGGGCAGCGGCCGACATGCAGATGAACGTGCTCCCCGGGCTGAGAAGGCGCTGGGGCTTCGCAGGCCCCGCAGCGGGTGCAGAGCCCCGAGGGGTGTCCAGCCTCCCCGCCCCCTGCTCAGTGCCCCTTTCCCCGTGCCGTGCTCCTGACCTGGAGGAAGGCTCTGACCCCGTGCGTCCCTCCCTGTCCCCAGAGCCCGCGGCGGTGTTCGCCAAGGAGCAGCCGGCACGCAGTCCCGTGCAGGCCGTGGCGGGGGCCATGGCGACGCTGAGCTGCGAGGTGGCCCAGGCCGAGACGCAGGTGACGTGGTACAAGGACGGCAAGAAGCTGAGCGGGAGCTCGAAGGTGCGCGTGGAGGCCGCGGGCTGCACCCGGCGGCTGGTGCTGCCGCAGGCGGGGAAGGCGGACGGCGGGGAGTACAGCTGCGAGGCCGGGGGCCAGAGGGTCACCTTCAGCCTGGGCGTCACAGGTCAGTTCTTCGGTGGCACTCTCGCAGCCTTGTGTGTGGGTAATGACAGCAGCCCGATGCACTCCGGTGCTCTTGGCCCTGGTCCTCTCTCTCTGAGGCTCCGCCCTCCACCTTCCACTCCACACCCGTGGCCGGGCCAGAGGAGGCTGGACGGGCAGAGCGTGAGCAGAGGGACAGGCGTTCCTGTACAGCCTGGCTTGGGCCCCACCCAGTGCTGCTCAGCCATAGTTCCCAGTCCCTGACGCGAGCCTGCCCGGGGAAGCTCGGTGTCTGGGCCCCTGGCTCTACCGTTGACTCGGAGTTGGAGGTGGACCAGGCGTGTCTCAGCTGTGCTGTGTGAATGCCCACCTCTCCATGTCTGGGGATGCCCACAGCCAGCAACGTGTGCTGTTCGCTCTAGGATAAGGGGTGGCTCCTGCCACCCAATCGTACTTGGATGTACCTCAAGACTGGACAGTGGGTTCGCAGATTTTAGTAGTTTGGGAGACTTCTTGCACGTGGATGTAGAAGTGACTGTACACTCGCATGTTGCAAAATTCTAGATGCATGAACTCTTGCCGCGTCTCGGCAAAGCAAACAAAGACGAGAGGATTGGCGCGTGTGTGTGAGGGCCGTACACCTAGGGGTCTGGAATTCTCTTTCTGAAGTGCACCTTGGTCTCGTCTTGCCTCCTGTTTCCCTTCATCTCCTGGGCTGGAATCCCCAGGAGATGACGTGTACGGTTGGACGTGGACTGGACTAAGGCAGCTGGCCCGCACTGCACGCTCTGTTGAAGACCAGTCCCTGTAGTGAGAGCCCCGACTGTAGAGACAGGGTTTATTTCACAGCGTTTCCCAGCGACTCGCGCGTGTCCGTCCCAAACTGTGTTTTCCTTTTCAGAGGGGCGTTTAACCTCGGATAAGGGTTGGCCGTGGTCGCACATCGACTCCCACGTGCCAGCGCGTGACCGCTGTGATTGGGCATGATTTGTAGGGCGTAGGCACGCCGCGCCCCTGCACGGGGCAGCGGCCGACATGCAGATGAACGTGCTCCCCGGGCTGAGAAGGCGCTGGGGCTTCGCAGGCCCCGCAGTGGGTGCAGAGCCCCGAGGGGTGTCCAGCCTCCCCGCCCCCTGCTCAGTGCCCCTTTCCCCGTGCCGTGCTCCTGACCTGGAGGAAGGCTCTGACCCCGTGCGTCCCTCCCTGTCCCCAGAGCCCGCGGCGGTGTTCGCCAAGGAGCAGCCGGCACGCAGTCCCGTGCAGGCCGTGGCGGGGGCCATGGCGACGCTGAGCTGCGAGGTGGCCCAGGCCGAGACGCAGGTGACGTGGTACAAGGACGGCAAGAAGCTGAGCGGGAGCTCGAAGGTGCGCGTGGAGGCCGCGGGCTGCACCCGGCGGCTGGTGCTGCCGCAGGCGGGGAAGGCGGACGGCGGGGAGTACAGCTGCGAGGCCGGGGGCCAGAGGGTCACCTTCAGCCTATACGTCGCAGGTGAGTTCTCTGGGGTGGGGGGCGCTACGGAGTGTTTGGAGAAGATGATTCAGTTGACCAATAGATCCAATGGACTTCAATGCTCCTCCAGTTAGTCTTCATATCTTCAAGTCTCCCATCCCCTCGTTTCCTATTTTCATGCCCTTGGCTAAACCCAGGGATTTTGGATGCGGAGAGTATGGGTGGAAACAAAGGCCCTTCTTGTGCACTCTGAACGGTATTTTCATGTAATTATGCTTTATCCCATGTTCCTGCCAGCTGTGCAGCATCTTCCTGAGATTCCCTAGTATCCAGGACTCTTACTGTACTTTGTGCTTGGGGTCTGAGGTAGACTGCAGTACATGAGATCCTCTGTTGAGCACTTTGGCAGTGCCCCCATTCCCTCGCCAGCACCACTGGTAGATTTCGCTAGTGAGAGATGTTTGAATTTCATTGCACCCAAGTAAGGGGTAAATTTGGCCACTTAATCATTCTTGGAATTATTTCAAAACTAAAATTTGGTATATCATAGTTTTAGGCATTTAGGGAGACTCTTCTTTTTATTCCATGTATAAAACTGTAGATCTATATTTTGTTGCTATTGTGTTTCCCTTTGTCCTCAGTTAAACCAGTTTATGTCAACATTCTCCTTGGAGTTTGATTTGTAAATTCAGAAGTGGAAGAGAACAAGTATGTGATACTACATCACCACATACTGTTAATATTTAGCTCCTCCTGTAGCATCTACCACTGCCGTATGAAACGGAATTTATTTTATAGAATTTTCCTAATAGTTAGTGAGTCTGTTACTCACCAGCTGTTTTATAGAGAAATCTCATAACTAAATTTATTTCTCTCTTATTAAGACAGTGCTGGTGTTAGATAACAGTGACTGGCAGCCTGTGCTGAGTGGTGTGTGCCGACACAGGACAGTTTGGCTCATGTCAGGATATAGTGGTTGGTGGGCATGTATAGATACCTCAGAACTCACTGTGGTTTGTCAAACATTATTTTAAAAGAATATGGCAAATTATTTTATGGTAATAAATTTGAAAAGTTTTAACAATTTTAATAGTTCTTAAAACATTATCCTAAGTGACACAAAAAGAAACACCTCTATTAGTTATATAATCTTTTAAATAATGGAACCATAATAAATAATCTTTTCAGAGAGAGAAATCTAAGCTCAGTGACTCTACTAGTAAATTACATAAAATGTTCTAGAAAGAAATTATTTCATGTTCATGGGGAAATTTTTAGAGACAGAAGGAGATAGTCTCCCGATTGTTGTCTGTAGATAATATAATATGGGTATTAAAATATGATAAGGAATGAAACAGTTAAAATTACAGGCCAGTCTACTGTAGACAAATACTAGCAACCTGAATTTAGTGAGGTATCAGATAGAATGACGGGGGTCATCACTCCAGAGTGCAAATCTGCTTTAGCTTTAGAAACATACGCAGATCAATGTAAAGCATGACACTAACATACTGAATTTAAAAGTGATGTGATTATCTCAATAAATGCAGGAAAAAAAACGATAAAATTTCATGTTACAAATCCTAAAGTAATCTTTGATAAAATTTAGTATCAATTCATGGCATAAAATTCTTTAAAATCTATGAGAAAAAAATTGTCCTTAATTTGATGAATGGTGCTTCAGAAGGCAGCAGGCACTGTTCACGAGAACCTTGAAGATGTGGCCTTTGAGACAGAGGACAACACAGAAGGCCACGGACTCCACTTCCACCCATGATTTTAGAGCAGAAGAAAGAGGAAAACCAAGTCAGAGTTGTGGAAGTTGGAAGAAATAAATGCGGTCCACAGATTATATAAATGTTAATTCAGACAATCTAAAAGATTATTAGGATTACCAAGAGGCTGCAGAAAAGTTACTGTGTAAAAAATTCAGTATGCGGAAATCACTTCTATGTCCATGCATTATAATGCAGTTGGAAAATGAAATTTTAAAAGATTTACAATAGCATGAAATATATCACATTTCTTGTTTTTTAAATTTTTTATTGTTGTTCAGTTACACTTGTACCAACTTTTCCTCCTTTGCCCGCCTCTGCCCAGCCCACGCCCCGCTCCCACGGTCAGTTCTCACACTGTTGTCCAGGTCCACGGGTCATTCATACCTGCTCTTTGACTAGTCCCTTCCCCTTCTTTCCACTGTTATCCCCCTTTGGCTGCTGTTAGTCTGTTCCATTTTCTATGCGTCTGGTTTTGTTTTGCTTCTTAATTTATTTTGTTCATTAGATTCCTCTTATAAGTGAGATCAGATTTGTCTTTTACCGCCTGGCTTATTTCACTTAGCATAATAATCTCCAGTTCTCTCCATGCTGTTGCGAAGGGTAGTAGCTCCTTCTCTCTTTCTGCTGCGTAGTGTTCCATTGTGTACATGTACCATAGTTTTTGATCCTTTCATTTACTGATGGGCACTTGGGCTGTTTGCAGCACTTGCCTATTGTAAATAGTGCTGCTATGAACATAGGAGTGTATATATTCTTTCGAATTGGCATTTCAGGATTCTTAGGGTATATTCCCAGCAGTGGAATCACTGGGTCAAAAGGCAGTTCCATTTTTAATTTTTTGAGGAAATTCCATAATGTTTTCCACAGTAGCTGCACCAGTCTGTATTCTCACCAGCGGTGCACTAGGGTTCCCGTCTCTTCACATTCTCACAAGCATTTATTGTTTGTTGATTTATTAATGATGGCCATTCTGGCAGGTGTGAGGTGATATCTCATTTTGGTTTTAATTTGCATCTCTCTGATGGCTAGTGATGTTGAGCATCTTGTCATATGTCTATAGGCCACCTGTAAGTCCTTCCTGGAGAAGTGTCTATTCAGGTCTTTGCCCATTTTTTAAATGGATTATTTGTCTTCTTGGTTTTGAGTTGTATGAGTTCTTTATATATTTTGGAGATTAAATCCTTATCTGAGATACCACTGGCAAATATGTTATCATATGGTCAGTTCCATTTTCATTTTGATGATGGTTTTTTTTTTATCTGTGCAGAAGCTTTTCAACTTGATGTAGTCCCATTTGTTTTTTGTTTTTTTCCTTTATATCCCTTGCCCTAGGAGATATATTAGCAAAAATTGCTACATGGGATATCTGAAATTTTACTACCTATGTATTCCTCTGGGAGTTTTATTGTGTCATGACTTATATTTAAGTTTTCTATCCATTTTGAATTTATTGTGGTATATGGTGTAAGTTGGTGATCTAGTTTCATTTTTTTTGTACCGGTCCTGTTCTCCCAAAACCATTTGTTGAAGAGGCTCTTTTAACTCCATTGTATGCTCATGCCCTCTTTGTCAAATATTAATGGTCTGTAGAGACTTAGGTTTATTTCTGGCCCCTCTATTCTGTTACATTCATCTATTTGTCTGTTCTTATGCCAGTACCAGACTGTTTAGATTATAGTGGACTTGTAGCATAGTTTGATATCAGGAATTGTGATCCCTCCTACTTCGTTCTTCTTTATCAAGATTGCTGAGGCTATTCTGGGTCTTTTTAGGCTCCATATAAATTTTTGAAATATTTGTTCTAGATCTGTGAAATATGCCACTGGTATTTTAATAAAAATTGCATCGAATCTATAGATTGCTTTGAGTAGCATGGACATTTTAATGATGTTAATTCTTCCAGTTCATGAACATTGTCTATGCTTCCATTTATTTGTATCTTCCTCAATTTCTTCAGTGTGCTATAGTTTTCTGAGTACATACAGGTCTTTTTCCTCCTTGGTTAGGTTCATTTCTAGGTACTTTATTTTTCTTGTTGTTAGAGTTAATGGGATTTTTATCCTAGTTTCTGTTTCTGATATTTCATTTTTGGTATACAAAAATGCCTTGATTCCTGAATATTACTTTGTATCCTGGTGTTTTGCCAAATTCATTTATTGGGTCGAATAGTTTTTTTGGTGGAGACATAGGATTTTCTATGTACACTGTCATGTTGTCTGTGAATTGTGTCAGTTTTACTTCCTCCTTTCCAATTTAGATGCCTTTTATTTGTTTTTCTTGTCTGATTGTTGTGGCTAGAACTTCCAGTACTATGTTGAATATGAGTGGTGAAAGCAGATGCCCTTGTCTTGTTTCTGATCTTAAGGAAGTAGCTTTTAGTTTTTGCCTATTGAATATAATGTTGGCATTTGGTTTCTCATACGTGGTCTTTATTATGTTGAGTTATGCTCCCCCTGCTCTCACTTAGCTGAGTGTTTTTATCATAAATGGGGGCTGGATTTTATCAACTGTTTTTTCAGCCTCTACTGATACGATCATGTGATTTTTTTCCCCTTCATTTTGCTTATTTGATGTATTATGTTTATTGATTTGCAAATATCATACCACACTTGCATCCCCGGGATGAATCCCACTTGATCATGATGTATGATCTTTTTAATGTATTGCTGGATCCAGATTGCTAATATTTTGTTGAGGATTTTAGCATCTATGTTCATCAGAGATAATGACCTCTAGTTTTCTTTGTTGTGTCTTTACCTGGTTTTGGGATTAGGATGATGCTGGCCTTATAAAAAGAGTTTGGGAGCCTTCCCTTTTCTTGAATTTTTTGGAATAGTCTGAGAAGGAAAAAGAGTTAGTTCTTCTTAGAATATTTGGTAAAATTTGCCTGTAAAGCTAATGGATCCAGGGATTTTGTGTGCTGGGAATTTTTTTGATTACTGCTTCAATTTCATTAGTTGTTATCTGTCTATTCAGGTTTTCTGCTTCTTGATTCAGCTTTGGAAGATTGTATGTTTCTAGAAATTTATCCATTTCACTCAGATTGTCCAATTTCTTGGCATATAGTTGTTTGTAGTAATTTCTTACAAATCTTTGCACTTCTGTGGTATTAGATATAACTTCTCTTTCATTTCTGATTTTATTTATTTGGGTCCTCTCTCTTCTTTTCTTAATGAGTCTGGTTAAAGGTTTGTCAATTTCATTTATCTTTTCAAAGAACCAGTTCCTGGATTCACTTACCCTTTGAATTTTTTTTTCTTT